CGTAACATACCAGGACTTCTCCAGTTTCGTGCTCACGTAGAACAAAACTGAGCATTTCTGTTCGGGGGCCTGCCACCAAACGCAGGTAGAGGGGATGTTCTCGGTCTGACAGCTTGCATGTATAAACTGCAGGAGAAGAACATCACACTAATTATGATCTTTACTAATGACTTTTCAAACGCTTTGAATGATTAATGCTAACTGTTAGAAAATTTCAGAGATAGGCAAGTGTAGCCACAAACTTTACACGTTCTACATACTGGTTTTGAGCAAATGAGTTTTACAGAGAAGCTGAGCAGATGACTGGTGGTAACAGTGCAAGACTGCATTCAGACAGGAATGAAACGGCCTCTAGTAAACACAGTACACCACCTGAATACATGCAGGGGGAAAAAACACTAGAAAAAAAATACAACACAGACCTGCCGCTATAACCAAGCATTTAAGACATCAGAGTTTGTGGTATCACCAGATACCTTTTCCACTTAACCTCTCACACACAAAGTCTAAGAGACAACTGCGCCTGCCTGACACGGTTGGTGTGACTGACATCTGAACTCCTGAAACTGTTCTCAATGTCCATAGAAGAAGGCGGATTCTAAGTGCAAGAACACAATGTCGTCAAAACGCATTTTTCACTAAAAATACCTTCTGCATCTTCTGTTATTTCCAAATACACTATTCAGTACAAAGCAAACTTGTAACAGCAGTCAGTGCACTGGGAGAGCCATGTGCACTAAGTAACACACACAAACACACTGCATGTGCCCATGATGCTCGTCACCTCAAGAGCTGTCTGCCAACACAAGGACTTCAGGTATCACAGATGCCAAGGTTCCTTTTTTAAAACAATCTGTTCTGTAATTTAATCTCACAAATCTGCAGTGTATCAGGCTAGATGAAATTCAGAGCCTGATAAGGGGGCATCTTAAATAAAATATAATGGACTACAAGGCACAGATATATGTAGATGGTTTAGTAGGTTACTATGTCTTTTCTGAATTACCCTGAAATATCCACAAATCATTTACTCTGTTACACATACTACTTTTCTCAAAGAAAAAAAACAAAACAAAACAAAACAAAACAAGAGAGAGAAAGACTGTCACCTCCATTTATCTGAGTTCTTCCACCCTGCTTATTTCAAGTATTCCTATAGCACAACTGCCTCCTCAAACCCCTTTGCTACCAAAATGCCACAAGCTTAACTTCTACCTTGGTCTTCCTTGTGACAGCGTTTATAAAGTGCAAACTTTGCAGGGTTGTCAGCCACGAAAAACTTTTTGAGCAAGGCCTCGATGACTTCACGAACAGTATTGGTGCTGCTGATGTGAAGGGTATTCACGCAGCCATCCGGCAAGTAAAAAGCAGTGTCATTATTGCTGTGAGCACACCTCCCCTGGCTCTGGGAGGACTGCACAGTGATCGGTCTGCATAGTTCCATCTGAACTTTGATGAAGCCAGTGTAAATCCCATTCGCATTCTGCAACAGGAGGAAAGTATCAAACTGTTAAAATTACTAGTAATGACCAGTTGTGACATATTAGTGGATGAAGGAGATTAAAATGGTCATAGTTAACACAATTTAATATGTGACGTCTTGCAGGAAAGTTACTGTTTCAATAATTCAGACATTTATTCTTTCTAGTATTTTTGCTCAATATTTTTTTTTCTTAATTGTAACTACTGAATTTTAAGAGTTTAGGACCTCATCAAGCAAAAGGTACTACAAGCTCGTGGTAAATTTTCACATTAGGAGAGAACTATTAAGTGAAAAAGACCACTAACACACATCTTTAACAACAGATTTTACACAGAAATACAGAAATTGTCTCCCACATTTTAGCTGAGCTTGTCAAATTAGTCTAAGGCATTTAGATGCTCAAATCCTGTTGCAGTTAAAGAAGAACCAGAATAAATGCCAATTTAATCAACATTTCAAATTATTTATTCCAGTTGCTTCAGAAAGAAAGCAAACTTGATTCAATCTCACTGGGCCAGAAAACTTTAGGCAGGCTGGTTGTAGGCACAGTAAGTCCCTACCCACATACAAATGCGTAACAAAAATCTTTTTAAGTACATAGTTGTACTTATATGGTTTATGATAAACAGAATTACAAAATTTCCATATACTATACACCCACAGGAATATGTAATGTATCAGAAAATCTGGACAACACTATGACTGAATAATAGCTTGCTAGGCAGATAGACCTGAATTTTGTAAGTATGGTCTGCAGCCCGCTGGACTGAGTCTGAGACCTGGTCCACGGTCCTTGACAATGAAAAGTCTATATGCATTCCATTGTCTGTATTGTCTCTGTTATGGGGGCAGGGAAAGGAAGTCTCCTCATGCTGAAATTTTGTAGGACTACAAATCAAGTCTCCTATAATAAACACTGCATGTTTTAACTTTTCTCATTGGTTGAGCATCTTTATCAGAGAGATACCTGACAAAAGTCTGTGCACACGAACAGGATAAATGTATCATCATGTTTACCAGCTGAGTGTTTTCATCTGACAAATTTACATCTTAGTGTCAACTGAGAGTTTATCTTAAACACATTTCAAATTACTTATTTTTTTCTACAATAGTTAGTTTAAATTCATATAAAGAGAGCTACGTGGATAAAAACGTTTCAAATGTGAGATTTAATTTCCAGATTTAAGGAAGAGCCTCTCACAAAGCCATTAAAACAGAGACAGGTTTCATACGTTGACTAAAACAATTCACAGTGCACTACAAGGTTACAGTTCAATTGCTCCTATTAAAAATTACAGGAATCCTATGCAAAACTTACCAAGGTCATCTTTAATTTATCAGTGACAGATGAATTATAGCTTTGTATCTTCTCTTTAACTTCTTCTTTACTGAGATAAACATGAGGTTCTCCCTCCTTCTGAACATCCTTCAACAACAACAAAGAGAGCCATTTTAGAAAACAAAATAAAACCCAATTATTTTATGACTTTGGATATGAGCATTCTTAGTCCAAATGGTAATTATTCCACAGAAGCTCAACACACGGTAATCAGCTGTACAGCAACAGAAAGGATTAACAAGTTAGGAAAATAAAACAGAACACTTGGACTGAACAGAGACAGTTAAATCAACACACCCAAAGACATTTGTGTTCTTTTTTTGCCAATTGTTTTCATTCAAATATTTGTCAGCAGTATGTAAAACAGCTCAGCTCATTTTATGGCTTGACTTGCTCATGTCAATGCTATGTAATGTTGTTAAGAATACAGTTGCAGTTTTCATGAAATATGACTGAGGCAACAAATGAGTATTTCTAAACAAATGAAGAATATATATGAGAGTAGCAGCACGTACTAACAAGTAACACCAACAACCCCTACGCGTGCCAACAATGTAAGAGCATCCCTGCATTCCAACGTGACAGACCGCACGTTACGCACCAGGTCACTGACTACTCTGTGGACCACCACGAGTAACTCTCCTCTGGATTTCACACGCAGCAGTAAAACCAATCCCTGGAGCTGGATTCTGTCCAAACAAACATTTGTTCCCAGTCCGTATTCCTGCAGCAAACTAGCGTTATAAATACACTCCGGTTTCCATCATTCACACAAATGCCATATATAGTATGAAAGAGTTTCAGCTCTCAGCTTTAATGATTTAAGACTTCACTTAGAAAGGGAGAAGCTTTGAAGAAGCTTGCAGCTCTCAGGGTACACCTGAGCACAGGCATATACATTCACAGTATGGACATACTGTCAAGTCACAGTGTTCCAATCTGTCCTCACAAACACATCCCAGTGGAGCTTATCCTACGAAAGTGTTTCCCTGATTTCAGTGGCCAGTCCTGTATCAGTCTTTTGGTCACCACTCAGCACACACCTTTGCAGGCACTTGAGTTTGCCAGAAATTACTCCCAAAATGAGCACATTTGGTGTGGAATTGTAAGTTTCCACTTGCCAGAAAGAATCCGCAGATTTTTTTCTGTCTCCTAATTTAAAACCAGCTAGTTTTAGCTCTTTGGGGCTTAGTTTTGCTTTACCTATCTGGTATTTTACTAAATGACATGCTGGGGCGGACTTTTCTCCCATAGCTATAAAAAGCAAGGTGTGGTCCGAATGGAGAACCGGGAGCCAGAAACCTTGAATTCTGATCTGGGCTCAGACACTGATTTCCTGCATAACACAGAGAACATACCTTTATTTCACAGATAAGGAAACTGAGGCAAAAAAATGAACACCAGCCAAATACAACTCTCCTATAGCTCCTTAAGCACAACTCTCAGATTGTGTAGCATCTTGCACAGCTGCCAGACCCCACCTGGTCTATAACAAAATACCCAATTGCTAGATGTTTTCAGAATCCAAGTCTCCATTCTCACTGCAGAAATTAAGCTTTCTTGCCCTCCTATTTTTCATATTTCCCCCTCTCCCCCCAAACTGCCATAATAATGACAGATACAGCTTCAACAAAACTCCTCACTTCATCTCCCCAGGGGCCCTTACAGCTTTGTAGTGTTCTGTTTGTGGGCAAATGAGTAGTTATAAAACACAGCAGGCACAGAAAAAAAGATATCTAAGTAGTATTTTTGTCTCTGAAATCAAAGTAAATGTTTTTGCTGTTTTCATGCTTAAAGTAAGTACCAAAAGCAATGACCCATAGTCAGAGTCTGGAAATACTGACACTCTCAAATGCTGACTTCAAATAATGGTGCAGGAGTGGGCAGAGACAACCTTAGCGATGGCTACTGAAGGGACAGGGAACAGGCTGCACTGCTCTGGCCATGAAGGCCTGGCAGAGCAGTTGCCATCTGCATGACTGATTTCAGGAACCCTGGCTTTAACTGGGAACGTTCCTAGTCTGTGTAGCTGCAGACAAGCCCCTTCACATGGATACAAGCCAAGACTCATATCCCACAGATGAGTATGTTGTGGAGCTCATAACTCCCCTGTCTGCTAACACTGCTGACACTGAACTTCCAACAATGGATACTTCAGTTTTAATATTTATCATTATTTAATTTCTGATTGTTCAAGCAGGTACCTCTCATCTACCCTGTTGGAGGCTGACTGTCACCATGATTACTGAAGTAATCCATAATATCCATTATCATCAAGAGAAAACACTAACCAGAAAAGAGGAAAATGCTCACCACCTTTCCTATGTTCAGCTCTAGCTGAACATAGCATACAGTTTTTCTCCAACATTCCTGGAGCTGAATTGCTCTCAGAATACAGTGGCACTTAATTTTGGCCACACAGCTTTGTCTAGCCATGCTTTAAGTTAAGATAAGCAAACTCTCATTGCCCACAGGTCTCTTTATTTCCTTCTGTACTTATTACCTCATAACAGGACCCACTAAAGGAAAGGTCCTCTACTAACTCTACTTAGGTCCAGCAGATCAAGTTCCACTTTGTTACCTCAGCAGGTAAATCTGTCACCTGTAGAAAACCTTGAGTCATCCAGTACAATGGAAGAGTAACAGCATCTCTACCATGCAATTAACTAATGTCTACCATGCTTTATAACATGCTCATATCACATTGCTCTGAAATGGCCAACAAGTGGCTGAAGCCACATCTGCTCAGGGTGGGACTACTGGGAAAGCAATTACTCCAACCTTAGCTGTTTTAAACAAAGAAGCAAGGGCATTTCAGAGGTGAGATACAGCCAAATATGTCTGTCATCACTTCTTGTGACAGTTCTACCTGGTCTGGTGGGAAGAGAAGCCACTCTGTGTCACCTGGTGGCTCACCCAGCCCAGGACAAAAGTTGCTTGTTCCACCACGGAACCTCCCATGCCCGCGAGTCATACTCTGCAACCCCTGGCACAGCTCCTCGGAGACAGTGCGCTGCTGAGGTGTGACGGGTGGCATGCTCCAGCCAGCCAATTCATCTCTAGGCAAATTCAGACACAGCTGATTCATCTCCAGCTCTCTACGAAAATGCCCAGCATGTATGCCTTACAAAATCTGCATGCTGGGAATTGTGAAACTGTCTTTCTTCAAGAGTTAGGCCTGGTGATGAGTTTCCTAACCACAGATCCTTGTATATGTCACAGCAGCGTGGTGAAGTATCAGCAGAGAAGTTCATACTGTATCTTCTTTTGGCAGCCAAGGCGTAGATGTTGCTGCACTTACCAATGGCACTTCTGGGTTCTAGTGTTTCTCTATAAAACAACACACAAACATTTCAATATTATTTTAATTAAAAAAACCCCAAACCTGAGTTAAGTGTGACTCCTCCATCATTTAACCAAATGATATTCTCAGCCATCTCATCACCCCTTCCTCCCCCAAGCCCAATTAAATGTGTTTTCCTCATCAGAACTCCCGGTCTCCTTCCATTACCTGCTTTTCATGTTATCTGCTACTTCCTCAGCCCAGCACAGATGTGACAGATAAAAAACTAATCTCAAGGAGACAGCTGAATGTATCAGAATCCATACAGATGATGTCTCTGGGTCCAAAACATTACTTCTAATCTGAGCTATTAATTTCTGTGAAAATCATACTCTCCTTGCTAACACTTACAGTGCACATAATTGTTGGCCATTTGTATTAAAGGCGTTCCTCAGGTCAACCAAAGCAGCATTTCATTCTCAAATGAAATTCCTAAGCAACAGCTGCCAGTGAGAGGGAAATGAGGCAAGTGCTTTCATTTTCCCAAGGGGAACAGCTGGTCTTTCATTAGAGCTCATGATGCAATGCCTCTTCACAGTTGAGCTTCCTCTCAACAAAAAGAGCAGAAAATGTTTTTTCTTTATTGCTCCCACCCCCCATGCCCATCTCATTTATTGTATTGCAGATGTTTAGCGAAGCAGCACTCTCAATTTTTAACATTTATGCTCAGTGCAATGCCCCCCAGAGACTAGCTCAGCATGAATCCTCAAGGAACACAACTAAAAGTCCACAAATTATAATTAAAATGAACTGCAAATCAGGCTGTGGTCCCCAAAAAGAACTGCATCACCTTTGAGACCTTCATAAAGTCCAAGTCCCACAGTTAACTGCCAAACTTTAGTCCTGCATGCAGTAAGAAAGTGCTAAGCTCAACAGCTAGCAAGCTGCTATAGGATGAGGCTGAGAAAAAGTTCCACAAACAAAGAAAACCCCAAAAGCCTGGAGCCTGTTTCCTCGGGGTACTTCTTGCCCTGAGACAGACACATGGCTTCCCCCAACTGCTCCTATAGGCTTCTATTTATGGAAGGATACAAGAAAGTCTCTCTCTTCTATCTAATCTCCTATTTTCATAAAACTTGTAGAAATTAGCACCTCTTGAGGAATGAGGAACCAAGCTCCTCTTGGAGGAACCAAGCTCCTCTTAACATTTCAGCTTGACAGACAAAGGAAAATATAACAGACAAGAGGTTAACCTATTCCAGGAATATATTAAAGTACTTTAGTAAGAAATCTAAAGAACCAAAAACCTGTGGGAGCTCAAGCCAACTTTTAAGCCATATCAGTCCCTATTCCCTGCCCTCCCATTTCATATTAATCCTACACATATAGTGACCCTTGATTCAGTCAGATGAATGAACGTGTCCTGGTTTTGTTGTAAATTGTGGCCAGAAATGATTTTTTAAGTAAAGCACTGAGGCTTTGACAAGTGAGAAATGCAGCCTAATCTACATTAGAAAAAAAAAAAAAAATTGCAGCTAATGCATCCCATTTACATCATGTTTGCATTAAAGAAAGAATTTAACAGTGCTATCACACAACAAGAAAAGCCTAGTAGCAAATCCAAGAAAGAAAACAGAGAAAGGGACTTCTGATCTCAGCTGCTACTTCTACAAGCAAGAGC